GCCATACTCTACCGGCAAGTCAAGAAACAACCAAAAAAAAAACAACTTCGAAGAGCGATCTACTCCAAGTTTTGAAGCAAGATTGGGCGAAAATTCCACAATCTAAAATTGACTAGATGATTCTCACGATGCCCAAAAGGATCAACGAACTCCACGAAGCGAAAGGAAAATCTACTAGATATTAATTAAATTATAAATATATCAATTAATGTGAAGATGACTGAAAATTTTCATTTTTTCTGAAAAGGTGGTGTCTATTTACTTGTGATCACGCTGTGTAGGTTCGAGCTATTAGGTAGGTCCGCTAAATAACAGGATATTTATTCAAGATATTGACTATGGAGAGGTACTAAATCTCCTACAAATTGGGTCATTGTTAAATGAAATAACGATACTGGACAAAAGTAAAACAATAAAATGAACAATTTTCACTTGGTCACCACAGATGACCAATTCTACTATACTATATTCAATAATATTCTGAAACAGACATCCAAATCCAAGGTTTCTTAATTTCAAATAAACCTTACATTTACCCAATACAAAATGCTTTACTCACGTGACTGGTTATTCTCATTCCAAAATAGGCCATATCCTTTAGATATCACCTAAACGACTGTTGAAGGACACTGCTGTTGACATCCTTATGCAAGGTCACGTTAAGCAGTGTTCTCCATGGACTTTGCCCTTACTTTAACCCTTTCATCAGATTATTCAATGCAGCAGTTGTCTGGTAATTTGCTGCTGCTGTGGTCTTGATGATGTTTTGATCTTCTCAGCACACAAATAGCAGACTTCTTCTTCAGTCAGCAAAAGAAATGTTTGTCTTGGCTACAGAGGACCTAAACTTCTGCCTATTGTGCAACCATCTGTTAGTAATGACATTTGACGGTGGGGAGATCAATAATGATGGTAGGTGGAGTAGCCTGGAATGCTGCTCTTGACTATCACTGTGTCAAATTCTGGACCTCTGTGTTGGAGGCTGGACCAGTGATACTGCAGAAGCTCCTTGTTTCATCTCACTGGTGGTCTAGTGATTCTCAGAAGCAGAAGATCCTTCATTGACCTGGTTGAATTGGATGGTTACTGCTGGTAGACTTGCTCATGAGTGGTTTTCACAGTCACTGTGATGAACGGTGCTAGTGGAGTGTTGACAGATGCTTTGCCCTTGCCTCCATCACATCCAGCCACCCCTCAAGATGCCTTTAACTCTGAAAAGGTATTTCGGAGTTTTGCGTTCTTTTATGCTGGAGGTGGGTATACATCTGAGTGATGTTTTCACCAAGCTGTTGAAAGATATCGTGCAACAGGATCTTGGAATAGGTGCCTCTAATGCCAAGAGGTCCACCATTTCTCCTTCTTTACCCTATAGATGAATATTTGTGGTTATTATGCCACTAGAAGACCGTCAACTACTGGAACAGCAGTGAAGAATGGTTCTTCCACTGGTGTCTCTACTACACTGTGTGGCAAGTACCAGGTGAAGGGAAGTTGAGCTGCTCTGACTCAGGAGGCTTGAGTTCCAGTTCTAGGTCGGTCAGAAAGTCCCAGTCTTCAGATTGATTTTTCAGAGCAGGTTCTTGGAATTTTAGCACACATAAAAAAATTGAAATGGGCACTAGCTACTTAATCACAAGATAACCAATATGGACCAAAACTTGACCTTAAATACCAAAGGTCCAGCTTGAACATTTTAGAACAGTGAAATCTAACTGATCAAGAGGTCAGCCAGGTGTGTAGGTTGAATGAGACTTGGTTACAACCCTTCTCTAAAAACTACCTTTAGAGGCCAAGTAATAGGTGAAATACCTATATGATACTTCTACAAAGTTCTCACACGCTCATATGAAAATCACCATTTTGACTGTGACTAGTAATGAAAATATACTCGGAAGGTAAGGATTGTAAAGCCCTTTTGGTATCATTATTTCCATCAACAAACTGTTCTAACTTCAGATTATTAAGTGATAATCATACAATACCACCCAATATCTCAGAAATCAAGAGTAACAGCATGGGTCCTTGAATTCCTAATTATCGTTTCCAATTGTGCCAACTGATGATGCTATGCATTAAATCTGTTGACACTAGCTATCTTAACTTCATGGTAATCATGATTAACTGATAATCATAAACACATTGTACCTTACAATACCACCCAATATCTCAGAAATCAAGACACAGCACTAGGTTCAAACATCATTCAAACTTTCTGCGATTCCCGTCTTCTGAGTTTTTAATTCAGTCCATTTGATAGCTCTGTTTTAACCAGGCCAATCTTCCTTTGCAACTCAGTCAAGACTGTCTCATAGTCCCAGGATTCCCATTCACTAGTTTGACGGAGCCTAAGGCGAGTCTGTCTAAACTCAGAACCAGGCATTGACCAGCTTGTCCCAGAGTCCAGTCATTTCAGGCAGTTTCCTACTTGAAATGCTTCAGGTAATGGTCCATTTCTTCCTTTGCTGTGTTTTAAATGTTATCAAAGTAATCTACTTCACCTATATCCAAGGGGGCCTATTATTGTGACCAGACACTCTCCTTTGTGACTTTTCAATCACCACCTTTAATAAGTGATAGGCACCTTGTCTGGGTGGCAGAACTACGAGTTTCTCCATGAAGCTTATATGTTATTTACTGGCTCTATCAGACTCGAAGATCCTCTGTGAATCATGTTCGCCTTTGTAGCATACTTCCCAAATCGGGGGGGGGGGGGGGCTCATTACTGCCCCATTACTCACTCACTTGATTTAGCACCTGCTGGTTAAATGGCTCCATTTTGTAGACAACATCCTTTACTGGATAGTTCTGACCAGAGCTGAGCCCCTGAGTTACTCTGCTGACATTAGTCTGGGAAACATGTACGGACTGCTCCTCTCCATCTCAGACTTACCAGATTCCAAACTACCTTATTGTTCCTTAGTTGTGTTTCCATTGCACTGAGGTCAGTCTCCAGTGGAAGAACTTCACTGACAGATCTAGGTACTCCATATGTCGGCAGCGCTTCCATCTTCGTCATAGGTCACAATGAGATTGAGATCATGGACCTCCCAGCATTGACAAAATTCCTTCGTCCAGGACAAGACTTCTTCTAGACAAATCTCTCCCCTCAGTGGCAGACTCTTCTATTTAGTTGTAACTACTTCTAGTTGTAGAACATGCCATTTAATAATTATAAAGTATTTGAAAACTTAAATCACACGAGAGTAGGAGTAAAGGGTGCTACACGTTTTAACAGTTTATATTTAACAACAATATTCTGCGGTTCCTACCTATCTACTATGTAGTTTATTCGAGTGAATTGAATATATGTTCAAGATATTGATTACAGAGTGGTACTAAATCTCTTCCTAATTGAGTCAGTGTTGAATGAAATAACAAGACTGGACGAAAAAGTTAACACAAAATGAACATTCTATATTATACACTAAACATAAACAGCTTGTACTCGCAATTTATCTATATCAGACCATCACGTTCACTGGATTACTAGAATGACTACTGACAATCAAGTTCTAACAGACTATATTCAGTGATGTTTCAAACCGGACTGCCAAACCTCAGCCTTACCTAACACAACATGACTGGTCGTTCTCATTACAAATTAGGAGCCATAAGCTCTAAATATCACCTGAACAACCATTCAAGTACACTGCTGTTGATATCATTACATAAAGAAATGTTCTTTACAAGTTACCCGACCCCCAGTGGCACAGCAGTATGTCTGCGGACTTACAACGCTAGAAACCGTGTTTCGATACCCATGGTTGGCCGAGCACAGATAGCCCATTGCGTAGCTTTGTGCTTAACTTCAAACAAACAAAACAAATAAACAAATTAATTACCCAAAGGTAAGTTGAAATAAGATTTACTTAACGCTTTTCTGTATTCATAAAAATGTTATATCCAAATATAACACAGCCCCAAGTGGCACAGCGGCAAGTCTGTGGTCTTATAATATTAGATACCGGGTCACGATACCCGTGGTAGGCACAGCATAGATATCTTATAATGCAGCTTTGTACTTAACCACAAACAAGTAATATATCACACATCTATTATTCGTAGAAATAACTTATTTTTCAGTATATAGGCTAAGTTATAATATTTTAATATAAAAGCTATAATTAATGCATGACTAATTATGAGCTAACCACTTTCTACAGCCTTTTAGATTTATCCAAATGTTTTTGAAAAATGACAGTTAGGGAGCGTTCATAAAAAGGAGCATCCTTGTATAATGTGACGTTTGCTTCAACAGATGTAAATCATTTAGATGTGCATCAGTCTAAATAAGACCATTAATGACTACATTGTATACACAAACTTAAGAAATACTATTTATAGCATTTGAAATGTTACTAACATACGATAATATTTGAGGGAAATATGCAAGAGGCCTGTAGGTTCACCATGGCCTTCCGATTCATTTCATCAAACACCCATCTCCTACATACGACCATAAGTCGGTACTCATCAAGTCCTCTCTTGAAATCTCTCATCTGGAAAGTAGATATTCAATTACCTAAATTTGCTGTGGCTTCAAACATTAGAATTCCTTGTTGTCAATGTACTTTAATAAATTAAGTTTCAAATTTGTGTTGTACTATGATAGCCTTTAAATAATTTCTCACCAGACTGTTTGATAGAATATGGTTTAGAGGTCTGTGGGCATTTCCTTAGGAAATCAAAAAGTTAAGACATTTTAAATAAGTAAAGGAAAATGTATAGGCCTAGATCCTGATAAAAAGGAAGTTTATTTGGAAGTAAAGTAAAAAAAAAAGTTTTGTAGTTACTGAGTAGAATATTGAACACTGCATATGCAGCGTGTGTTAAAAGAGTGGACGATTGATACAGCAGTGATTAGAATTATTTTCTTGCATCAAGCTTAAAGAATTATATATCAGGAATGTATCAGTTTTATCTGCTGGACACTTACCATTTAGCTTATTGGTAATTCTCACTATTTTAATCTCTAATAGCTGATTCATACAACTTTTCAGCTATCTTGTTTCTGCCTCACAAGACGGTAAGCTAATTGTGTGGGACGCATACACAACAAACAAGGTACAGTAAAAACATCTTGATATTTCCTTCTTTGAACGTATTAATTTTGTTATAAGCAATATTCAAAGAGCATAAAATATTTGAAATCATTTTTTTTTCAGTATAGAATTGGTCTTGAAAAACTAGGATGACCAGATTTCCAAACCGCAAAACCAAGACAGTCCAGCCCTTGCCCCTAATCTCAAAATGGCTATTACAAATAATTTAAATTTTACTTAATTTACATTAAAATGTGTTGAACTGTTTCACAATATTTCTACATGTGTATTGGCATTGTTTTTGAAATAATTTCAACTACATTTTTGGGGATAGACACAAAACAAGCGAACACCTGGATGTTAAATTATACATCCAAGAAATCTATAATTATTCACTTTATCCAGTTCATCTTAAAATAGACTATTTCATACTGGATTTATTTAATAATCCATAACATTTTCAAACATACTTCTTTTAGGTTTTAGCATTACTTTTTAGACATATTTTGTGAAGAATGAATGGAATGTAGAAGTTCTGTTGTTGTTTTTTTTGTTCTTTTTTTTCATCATAACATTCAGTATATCACTGTGTAAAATGTTTTTTGACGATATTCAGGACCGCGCAAACCTGGGTTTCTCACAAGTACAGACAGAACTTTCGAGAGAGTTTGGAGGCAGGGGAGTATGTGTTACAACAATCTTTCTCGGAAAACTGGGACAAACCACCAAAAAACGGGACTATCTCGGCAAAACCGTGATGTCTGGTCATCCTATCGCTAACTGAAATATTAAACGCATTAAATCTGGTGCCAGTCAAATGTAATTTAAAAATATATTTTTGTTGTTTTATTTAAGGATACTGTTAGACATCTTATGGTACACTTATGAAACACTCAAAAACATTTCAGTGTTGATGGAGAGTTTTCTCATTTTCACCATGATTCACACTGAAAAAATTGTTTTCGACATGTTTGTGACATTTATGACACTCTATACACTTGGTAGAAACAAGAATAAATGTTCGTCATATCTTCCTCATACTTTCATTAATTCTGGTTTGATCAATAATATGTAAGTCTACTAAATGATCTAAGACACCTAAAGAGATTACAATGAAAAGAAAAAAGTAGTTTACTCCTACTATTATTTCTGCTTCACAGTTTTCTTGTCCTCCTTAAATTTTGATAGGATTTTAACGTTTTTGGGTGACTTCTCTCTTTCTGGTTGCTTGAACTTTAACTCCTAATGTAACTACTTCCACAATATTTGTATTTCATGCAAACATACCTTCCAACCTCACACTTGCAAATGAGTCTACGACAAACGTTACTTTCAAGCATTTTTCCATGTATATTAATTCGTTTAGCAGTGAAAACAGATCTCATTGCAATAAAGGCAATGGAATTTCTCCAAATCTTGACACAAAGAAAGACGAACTCATTTTCACATGAATATTCCTCTGCGAGAGGTTAACTGATGAGTAGATATTTCAAGGTAAAAGCTGATTTCCCGACAAGTATCAGATAGTTAAACCCGCTAATGATAGGAAATTTGCTCAGAAAATAGAGACTAATTCTGAATTTGATAATTTAACTGAGTTTTTCTAGAGTGTGTGTGAAATAACACGCATTGACGAATTTACCAAAAAAAATGAACACAATCTTTGTTATCAGAAAAACCAAAAAGAAAACAGTGTATGTAAACATAATCACAGTCGAGTTTTACTATGTTGTCCCACAGCTTACACTCTATTGGTATTGATCTTTGTAAAATTAAAATAAGATTATTTTCAAGTATGATCTTTACTCGATCTTCTAGTAAAAATGAACCAAGAAAACCGCTAAACTTAATTTTTTTTTTTGTCCAGTCGACAGCATTACCTTGTGATATTTGTTCTGTCACGGTATTGGTCGGCTATTATATTGAGACAATGACAACTCGGCTAGCAAAGGATACTACAGTCGCTAATCCTTTCAATCTGAATGCTGTATGCTACTGCAATATCCTCTCGGGCATAATAGACATTATCTACTAGAAAGAACAAAGCAAATGGAACACAGCAATCTCAATGACGTTTTCAACCACGTGCTTATGCTTAGACTGCATACAAACTATATAATTGAATTTTTTTTTAAATTGTATATCAGTAAAGCGTGTAGAAAAATATGATATCTCATAAGCGGAAAATCTGTCTTTTTCAAAATCACTAATACTAAATTATCATTGAAAGGTACGTTTTTTGTACTATTTATTGTTTGTACTTTGGATATTGTGATGATCAAAACAGCCACTAGTTTCTGTATTATCGCCTCACGATTTTAGGGTTAATACTAACTTTTAAAAATATGATGTATTTTTTAACCCTTTATCTTTTGTTTGATATTACTTAATAAATGAATGATTTATATAATGAAATTTGTCCTTATAATAACTATACTCCGTTTGAGGTTTGTTAGTACTTTTGCAGTAATTTAAATGCAACACATTTATGTATTACATTGCTATTATAAACTAAAGTCAACCAGTAAGTGAGATATTCAGCAGGAGATTAGAAACAAATAGCTCACTATCTATTTTGCTTATAAACATCAGTAGGAATGTAAATTTGTATCTTAGAATTGCAAATTAAGAAACAGTTCAAGGTTAGACTTAAATTAAGTTGTATTTTTAGGTTCATGCCATTCCATTGCGATCAAGCTGGGTCATGACCTGTGCTTATGCTTCTTCAGGCAGCTATGTTGCTTGTGGTGGGCTGGACAATATCTGTTCAATATACAGCCTTAAGACCAGAGAGGGCAATGTACGGGTCAGCAGAGAACTTCCTGGCCATACTGGATACCTGTCATGCTGTCGATTCCTGGATGATAACCAGATAGTAACAAGTTCTGGAGATATGACTTGGTATGTTGGATATACTAAGTGGCAAGTTCAGAAAACATTATCTGGTATGTTGTTCCCTGAGTAACAACATAGGGGCACATGAGTATATTGTTACCTGGTTTGTTGGTTATACCAAGTAACAAGATCAGGACACCTGATCTGATGTGTTGTTATACTAAATAACAAGTTCAGAAGATACTTTATTTAGCATGTTGTTACACCAAGTAACAAGATCAGAACACATGACAATTTCAGGAGACTGTTAATTACACTTCGTGGTAAATTTAAGAGACAAAACTTGGTATGTTGGTTACACGTAGGTTGCATTCTTTTATATATTGTGGGATGGCTAAGCTATTAATTTCAAATTTTTCTATAATTTTTTCTAATGACGATTTAAGCAATAATTCTCATCCTGAAAAGTTGCTAGACGGAAATAAGATGAGAGTAGTTGTATTTTAATAATGAACACAATCTATGTAACACATTTGGAGACATGATCTGCCATGTTAATTACACCTATTGATAAGTTTGAGAGACATAATTAGGTGTTTAGAATATATAAAATATTAAGTTTAACAGATATGACCTATTAATTGAGCACATCAGTAAACACATTCTGGAGTATGATGTGTTTGTTGGCAGGGTTGCCAAACTTAAAATTTCGTTTTTCATATATACAGACACAGTGGCTTTTTTTATGGACTATGTATATTCGTACTGACATAATCAAAATAAAATATTTTTGTTACTTACAGGCTCATGAATAGGGTTAAAATGTAACTTTTTTTACTGACTGTCCATGGTTGGCAGCCCCTCTTTTTATAAGTCAGGATGTGATATAGCAATTGTGTTTACCATTCACTTATTATATCCTTCTATCGTTTAGTTTATCTATGAATTATTAGTTCATTAAAACGCTAACTCACCTTCTAAATATGTGTGTGTATGATGAAACTGACACCACCTTCCCTAGCGGTGAGCACAAAAAGTATTAATGTAGCAGAAAAGTGTGTAAATTTATGATCACATGAGGTTGTACTCTAGTAACCTATGTGAATAACTACCCTTCCAGAAGTTTCACTAAGAGACATAGATAGTTATTGTAGGGTGTAGCTAGTTATTGCTGTATATCACTTATTATTGATGTTGAAAGGTATTATTTGAATATCATATTTGCTGTTTATGTTTTTTGAAATTAGGTTTTTCTTCATGTTTATATTTTCATGATTCCATTATTATTGATTTATTAATATTTATTACAGATTATTTATTAATATTGGTGTGAAGTCCTGGTCAGGCACTTATTTATTAACTGTGTTTCGATAAGTGTTGAATTTATTTCTAAGTGTTGTTATCGTGAATAAATTGTTTTTGTTGTTGAACCCTGGTTGTAGAGGTGTGTTCAATTTAGACCATTACAAGGAAACGGAACCTGGTAGTTAGGTTACACTAGATAACAGGTTCTAGAACATGTTGTGCTTGCACAAAATATGAATTTTAGAAAGATGTTATGCTTTGTTGTTTAAACTGAGAAACAAATTTAAGTGATATGCTCTAATACATTTTGTGTACTAAGTAAGTGGCTCCGTGGATGATCTGGTTTGTTAGTTACACTTAGTAAAAGCACTGGAAACATCATTTGGCATGTTTGTTACATTAAGTACATAACAACTTTAAGAATCTGCATTAATTACAATAATAACAAATTCAACCGATGATCACATCTGTTGTACTTATTATACGATTTAATTAACACATTCAAGAGGTATAATCTGACATCTCTACACCTAATGTAATTAATATGGCAAATACAAGATCAGGTTTAAAGTACAGTGTATAAACTCTGAGAACAAGTATGATTCACGAGAGCAGTTTTGTGTTACAGTCTATATGTTTTGGTGTAAATAAAATCGTAGCTAACCTTTTCAGATTTTGCTACAAAATATGCCCCCTCCCCCCCAGTAGCACAGCGCTATGTCTGCGGACTTACAACGCTAGAAATCGGGTTTCGATACCCGTGTTGGGCAGAGCACAGGTAGCCCATTATGTAGCTTTGTGCTAAACTTCAAATAAATGCTACAAAATAACTGTGTGAAAATTCTGATTCTTTTTTGCTATATTTAATCTATTTTTTAGTTGTTAAGTTACAAATTTCATTGTGGGAAAGTGCCTAATAATAATAAAGAATTTAAAATAGTTTTATTATCTTGCTGGTTGTTGGATTCAATAAAATGTTATTATTTCAAAGTAATCTTCCGATACGATATCTAACCTCACAAAATGTTTTCTCGACTTATATTGCCCTCTATTGGCGCAAATGTTCGCTCGCCACTAGCTTTGATACTCCCACTTACTTATGCATACTGACATCCAAATAACTATGAAGTAACCCTCCACCAAAAGGAGTGCGACACTACCCTATCGTAACTAGCGCCCTGTTTAATCTTGCATATGTTAATCACTTCTCGATTGGCAGTTATATTGAAGGACGTGTTTTCGCTCGCGGTTTGATTCACTTATCCACACGTTTTTACTTTCTTAATTTTTCTTCTTTAACTACATTGTTCTTTACTGTTTTCACTCTCGTTTGAGGAGAATTACAAATTATTTCATTGATCTTCTATCCTCTTTCAATCTCGTGAGTTATGCACTCGTAGTTTCAGGTGGTAACGACTACAAGTGCTGCAGCGGAATTACCAACCACGTCGAAATGGTCAGAACCACCATTCTCGGCCCGTAAAGTGACGGTTCTGGTCCGTCGGAAGTTGACTAATTTCATGCAACTAAAGAACATACTGATGATTGTCGTATCAGAGTTTTCAGTGTTCGTGAAGTTTTGGATTTGGACAACTTTTCGCCCTCCTAAATATGCCCTCTCAGTCACATGTAGTTTTGGGGGACTTGCCCAGACCTCTTTTCCCTTTCGTAGGTTTGATTCTTCAGGTATATTATGTTTTTTCCTTATTTCCCATTCCAATGTTCCATCCCTGCTCTTCTCATGATTCATTATTTTAGTGTTTCCCCCTTCCCTGGATATTAGGGTTCATGTGAGCCATTTTGAGGAGCATTTGCGTTCAGGTGTTGGTATGACACATAGTGTGGATCATCAAGCTTTTGATTATCTCCATTCCAACTTACCTTGTTTGGACTCACGGCATTGGTGTCGTTTCTCCTTAGTAGGGATCAGACCTTGATATTTGATCACCTTTTCCCGTATTTGCCTCAGTCTGTCCACCTTTCTCGGGTCAGGGTTGGTGGGAGCCAGACTCCTTCACTTTGCCCGTGTTTGGAGGTCCTTGGTGGTTGATCCATGGGTTCTAAACGTCGTTTCAGTAAGTTCAGGCCACCACTTCCATTCATCTCCCTTGTTGTCTCACATTCCCATTTCCTTGCCCCCCCTCGGGTTCCCGTTTTTTGCCCACCTGATTCATTCCATGGGCCTTTGTTTCCACCATTGTATGGATGTATGGCTCCTTCTTGCCTCCTCACAAAATGACTCAGTCCTACATCCTCAGTTTCTTCTCCTGGAAACTGTTATAATGTGTTGGTGTGTCACAGTGGGGCAATTTTTCCTCACACTCACACAATTTTTAGTTCATCTCAGGGTGTTTAACAACTCTCTTCTCCTTCATGCCCTACCTGCTCCACTTTATTTGCGAGCTATGGAATGTTTCATATACAGTATTTCATGCTCTTCTACTGCATGAAAGGTTCTCTCACTTTTGGGGACACGGGCTTTTCTTGAAGCCCTCATTCCTCTTGGTCATGCCCTATAGTGTCATTGTCTGTGAGTTTTGAAAGACCAATGGAGCCTTATTTGGGATCCCTTAGATGCCAATCTTAGCCATACCTCTCCCTTACAGAACAATTTTGTCTGGTGGATTGATCAGAACACTACTACCAATGGGGTTCCTCTTCCTTGTCCAAAATGTCATCTTTTACAGATGCTTCTTTTTCCATAAGGCTATCTCAACAGTTAGGAGGTTTTTGGGCTATGGTACCTTTCCGAGTCCTCTTTCCATATCAATCTTGGAACTTCGTGCTGTTTGCTAGGCTTTCTTTCACTTCCTGGAGACTTTTAGGTGCTGGTTGATGATGGTTCAATCTGACGTTTCTATGGTAGTCTCGTACAGCATCGGGCAGGGTTCACTAGTCTCAACAGAACTCTCTTTTCTCACATTGGATCTTCTGTGTTGGACCCACTACCATCCCATCACTTTGTTGGCATGCCATAATCTGGGTGTCCTGAATCTGTTTGCAAATTGGTTATCACATCCCAACAAGATTCTCCCTGCGGCGTGGTCTTCATAGCTACTCATTTTTCGAGTTTTGTGTGCTCTATGGGGTGTCCAGATTTGGACACTTTTGCCACTTTTCTCATTACACAACTTCCCCATTTTTGGTCTCCTTTTCCTCTTCCTCTGGCAGGAGCAGTTAATGCTCTCAGTCAGGATTGGTTGAGTTGGTACCTATATTCATATTCTCCTATTCACCACATCTCACATGTCCTTGCCATACTTCAGACCACTATGTGAAGTGTTCTGCTGCTGGTTACGTATAGGCCAGATCACACGTGATTTCCACTGCTGCACCTTTATCTCTGACACTTCTCCATCAGCCACACTCTGGCGTGCATCATCCATCTGTACCAGCACTCCATATTTGTCTGGTCTCTCACCTGAAGAACTGAATTTTCATATGTAACTTTCTTTGATTTCCATCCTGTTCTTTCTTCCTCCATGGCAGCTCACCTACATATGGGGTTATAGTCCTTCCCATCCCATGGTTCCTCTCATACTGTACTTTTTGACTTGACTTTGTGAGCGGATATTTTCAGTTTCCTCTGTTGTGGGCTACAGGATGACTTTAGCTTCTACTTTTCAGTTCCCCACTTTGCTTGTGTTTTCCAGTGGCCAGTCTTATCTATGCTGTTTCTTTCCTTCCGTTTTTTCCCTGCCCTCCCTGCCTTGCTTCCTTTCTGGATTATCACCTCTATGTGGTCCTTCATGTTTTCCTCCATCCTCCATTGGACCTTTAGTATCCAGGTTGAATTTGCCAGTAATTCGCCTGGCGTTTATATTCTCTTTCTCCTGATGATTGTTGCCTTTTTCATGTTTTTTTACCGTCAGATCTGTCACCTTATCATGTTCCTAACTGTACATATCGATCTTCCCTTGGGGGGCATCTATTTATCTGTGGGTGGTAAGTATTACATTCTTTTTCTTTGCAGGGGCCTTTATCACATATTTGGATCCCGCTCTCTGGCAAGTATTGCCTCAGCAGGTATACTTAGTCTTAAATCTGCAGTGTACAATATGTGATCATAGCCATGTTGAATGACTGTGACATTGAGGCTCCTCCTGCCACGAACCTGATTTACAACTCCTTCTATTGCAGTATGGGAGTCCTTGCCACTCACCAGTTCCTAGCTTTTGGAGTGGTGGACTATAGGGGCTTGTCCTCCTGAGTGTGCATGATGCCCGTCAGTTAAGAGTAGGGCACTAGCATTCTGCTGGTGTAGATAGTGTGACACCCATCCTACTGCAGATCTGATGTATAATTCCAGATGCTGCCAGGTGTTGGATGTAGTGCTCTGCTGTATATTGCAATTTGCTCATCTGGTTAAGGAACCATCCTTCCTACAGTCTGCAGGCTGTCAATTCCCAAATACTGGGTGTTGTTTGTAGCCAGACCAGCTACATAAGTCCTCACATGTGTTTGGATGGTACTCTTCTCCTAATGCAGACTGGATGATAAATTCCCAATGTCACCATGTTTTGGACTGGAGGTGCAACCCCAAATAGTAGTCCCTCTTCCTACCATCTACTGGATGTTGGTTCCTGGTGTATCTGGTGTTGGTTGTAGCTGGACAAGACACATGAATTCCTGCATGTGTAAGGCTGGGTACCCAGATTTCCAATGCTGTCAGGTTTTGGACTGGAGAACATCTACCTGGGATCCCCAATTTTCTACCATATGCTGGATGTCATTTCTCAGTGGATCTGGTGTTGTTTATGTTGGAGGTGCGTGCATATGGAGGTGTGTTCTTGGTACAGAAGCTTCTCTTCCCTTCTGGTACCTATTTCTGAGGTGGAAGGTAGATGACCCTCTTCCTACTGTGGATCTGATGTACACTTCCAGATGCCACCTGGTTTCAGTTGAGGTTGAACTCCCATTTATGGTCTGTTGTGCCCTAGCCACTCTACATCAGGGGTCTCATTATTGATGTAATTTTTGGTCCCTCCATGTTTCCACTCTTTTTGGCGACACCTTACTAACGGCAAAGAGTATACCTGGCTCAGAAGTGGTGCAATCTCCCACGGGTGCATTGTTTTTAATTCCTTCTCTCACCCCTTGATTTTCATTTGGGCCCTTTCTGAAGGAGGGTCATCTTCTCACTGGCCTTCCACTGGATCAATGTGGGATTCTAGGTTTTTGTGAGTAGAGGTAAGATGTTGTACCCGAAGTTAACATTTTCCTAAACTGAAAATGTATTTCCAAATTCTCACATTTCTCATTGGTTGAGGCGCGATATTGTATCTAAAAAGACAATATGTTTGTTGAATAATCACAACAATGCTTGCAGTGTTATCAAGTTATTATTTTTGTATGCATAAAACAAGTAATTAATATAAAACTGCCTGAAACTCCGAGAGTAAAACTGACTTAAATCATTAATCTATTCAAAAAAATTGTAAAATATTATTTCAAGTTATTATACTTTAAAAATCCTTAATTCACTTGTACGCAATTTTTAACCAATATAATTCATTACAAATTCATTAACTTTGAGAGCTGCATTGACCTTTGTCATTCTCTAATATTAAAATATAACAGACATATATATATATATATATATCTGTTCCAAAATTAAACCAGTTTATTCTTCCTTGATACAACTTTTTAGTACACAGAAGTTCCACAATCAGTATGTTTCTCTGTAGCTCTGTAATGGTAAAGTTATTTTTTATACATCTATTCACAATTGTAAAGTTACTAAATTGCTGTTTTTTTCTAATATAATACAATGAAGGTAGTAAAATTTTGAATTTCGACATGTAATTATAAGTAGTTTTATAATAAAAAATATGCATCCAACTTATGTTTTGTCCATATTTTTTTCAGTGCATTATGGGACATAGAAACAGGCCAACAGTGTACTTTATTTACTGGACATACTGGAGATGTGATGTCTCTCTCATTGTCCCCAGACGTGAGGACATTTGTATCGGGAGCATGTGATGCTTCGTCTAAAGTAAGAAAACTGTGATGAAATATCCATTGTTTATGTGTGTTTTCTGAGCCTCATTTTTGAAGAAACTAATATGAAGACTGAAACATAACATACTGATAGATGTAGCTTCTCCAACTGATTTTTATATTATTTAGTTGTTGAAGTGTGATTCACATCTCCTTACAAGAAGAAAAAAACTTGTGCTCTGCAAATTGGGCAATGACTGCATTATAAGAGTAGCAGTTGAAAAATCCCACTATTGAATTAGAGTAGCCCAAGATTTGGCTATAGATGCTGTTGACTAGCTGCCTTCCCTTAGTTTAGTCTGTCAACTTAAAATTGGATGAACTTGTGTAAATAGCTCTTGTGTAGCATTGTCAAAGTATATAAAGCAAATCAAAAGTGCCTCCCTTGGTTCAGTGATAAGTCTGAGAACTCACACCAATAAAATCGAGGTTTCAATACTCATGGTGGGCATAGCACAGATAGCCCATTGTGTAGTTTTGCACTTAATAACAAACAAACGATAAAAGTAAATATTCCTGGGTATGTAATTATTTGGTAGAAAATTGTGTGAAATTAAAATAAATATTTATGATATTGCATTGCAAAGTTTTTATAAGTGAAGTAAGCATCCTTAATTGGTACCAAAGAACAACTAACTTTGTAATGGTAAATATAATGATGTGGAAGTTCATTTTAGATTCCTAAAAACAACTTATATCATTTAGGTTGAATGTAAGTATATAAACAATGCAGGACTCTTTGTAATTTTTAAAAACTGGGTGATGGAAGATGGTTGTTGTAGCTGGTACAGGATAAATGTATTGTTGCTGTTTTATTTGGTTTTGATGTATAGTCCTTTACTCGCCACTAATAACCTAAAATTCTGCTGTTAAACACCTAAAGAATTTCGGGTTATTAGTGGTGAGTAAAGGACTATACATAAAAAACCAAACAAACCGCTTACATTCCACCACTATATGAGGCTTACTTTAATTATTTGCCACACTTTTCTAAGCAGCGTTGAGTAAAACTAGTGTTACCTATCTGCTTGTTTGTTTGTTTGTTTCCAGTAGAAATTATTTCTGGGGATCTTCAGAGATACAAGTCCTTTCTTGATTAAACCAGTTTATTCTTCATCGATACAACTTTTTAGTACACAGAAGTTCCACAATCAGTATGTTTTTCGTCACTTTAAATTTAACAACTTTTATAATACATGCAATAAATCACAGTGAGTTACAATCTTGATATCTTTGCTCTCAAGAGTGCAAAACACACACTTTATGGCTCACTAGCTCGAAATTAACAGAATCATAAATTACGCGGAACTCAAAGTAACTACTGCTCTCTCTTCATTTAACTATTCTCCCGCTGGCTTTCACTGCCAGGCTTATATACTAACGAAGAGGGCATCTCGAACACACTCGGACTTCCCCGATCATTTGAGAAACTCATCATGCACGTCACCAGTGCCAACTCGCCAGCAGCGTCACGTGACTTCCGCTGTCATAACACTAGTTTGCTGCACAGAAAGTAGGAAATCAAAGAATAGATTAGGCCTCTACATCATCTTTCCTCCCGGATATTCACATTTTCATAAATAAATAAATAAATCTTATTGCTATAATACTATGAGAACATCTTTGTTCCATCTCTCATATCCCCCGATGGATCATTAGGAGGTTTATTAACTTACAATGATAAAATCCAGGGCTCAATTCCACACAGTGGATAAAGCAGATAGCTGAATGTGGCTTTGCTCTTCAAAACAAATAAACCATCTCTCGTGTCCTTGTCAGGTACTTGTTATCTCCAAATAGCTCATTTTAGTTTTTAAAATTGTATTTTAGTTAAAGTCACAACATAAGAGCAATTTTTATATACAGAATATTATTTTCCGAATATGTTATCATATTGAACATAATCATTATATTGAATCATATATATTGTTACGTCTCCGTTTGTTAATTGATTTTCCGTAACTTCGTTTCGACGAAAATTCAGTGACACAAGTCCTCACCCAATAAAACCGGTTTACTCCTTCCGAACACAACCCTACGATCCACCTATTTTCAACAGTCGCTCTATAACAAACGCTAAATCAACGAACGTCAACAATACTTCTGACTACAGTTCAATTACTCACAATCTACACACACATTACATTACCGTCACGTTGTC